TTATAATTAATTTTTATTAAAAAATTAAAAAATAATTTTAATTTTATTAATTATTTAATTAAAATATAATTTAATATTAGTGATAAAAATAAAATTATTTTTGTGATTTTTATATAAATTAAATACAAAAAATATAATTAATGTACCAAAATATAAAGTAAACAAATCTTTATTAAGATATTAATTTAATTCCTAAACTTTTAAATTTATACTAAAATTATTTTAAACTTCCAAAATTATCAAAATAATCCTTAAAACACTAAATTTTGATACTTTTTCAGTCCTACCGTACACTTTTCCTTATCTTATGCTGACATGGCAAGTTAAGTTGGTGATTAGGCATTTTGTTTTGGATTTATCATTTTCCTTTTTAATAGATATGTCTTTGCGGAGAAGGATAATTTTTTTTTGTCCATGTTAGACTTTTGTACCTAATTTTTAAAAATTTATTAGTAGTATTTTTAACTGATGAATTAAATGAAATAAAATAGGAGCCACACAATTTAATTTTTTTGATTGAGAACAAAATAGGTCATAATTTTAAAATCAATTAATTTGAACAACCCGCACAATTAATTTGAACAACCCGCACAATTTAATTGGGTCATAATGAGTCCTAACATGTAATAATTTCCATAAAAAACTTAAATAATTACAATTTAATAAAACAGATTAATATTTAATTAAAAATTAGATTTTAAATAATTAACCTAATTAAATCTCTCTCCTCCATAATCTCTTAATCAAGCAATGTAATTACAAAACTAGCTAAAATTTATGAGGAAAAAAAAAAAAGAAAAAGAAATCCCATTACGGCATATCAACAAGAAGCACAAGAAAATCAAACAAAACGCTGTGATTGAACGTTGGCTAAAAAAAAAAAAGAGGAGAAAAAACCTTGGGTTCTCAAAATGCAAATATAATCAAACAACATATTCAAATCAAAATCTTTTGAAATCGTTGACGACTCTTAAGACTGTGCTAGCATGGACGGAGCCAATGAAGTCCAAGGGGGATCGGGGAGTGGGGAGCCGGCTCCTAAACTTTTGAAAAATATTTAATATGGTATTCTAACTTTTATTTATTAAATAGTTTATGTTATATTATGAATTTCAAGAATTATTTCAAATATAAAGAGAATATTTATGACGTTAATAAAAAGTCTACAAAAAAATAAGGATATGATTTTAAATGATTAAATGAACTCTATGACAATTTAATTAATTAGGAATTGGAGTTTGTAAACATTTTTTTATCTATTAAGCTTCAAAAAAAAATTTTGATTCTTTATTTAATCAACTTTAAATTTATAATTTTTTTAGTATTTTTTACTTTCTTTCTTAATATTGTATATAATAATTTAAAACTTTTTATGATATTACGGTACATTTTTATCTTTCATGATTAAATTTATAATTATTTTTATATTAAATCAATTAAAATTAGAGTTCACTTTCTAAAAAAAATATTTTAAAATTTTTTAATATTCTAGTATTTTTTTATAATATTAGTTTCTATCAACATGACCTAAAAAATTAAGAGAAAAATATCTCAAAATTATATTATTTCACTAAAACCAAAGTACTATCATTTCTACTTTAATAATATATTACTTTTATCTTTTTCAAAGCAAATTTATTAAAATAATATAATTTTATGATATTTTTTCTTCTAATTTCTTAAAAATTTTGTTACAAACATATTTTTCTTTTTTAGTTCATTTTTCAATAAATTGTTATATAATTATTACTATAATATTTTATATTTTATTATAATATATAAATTTATTTTTAATTTTTTAAAGAATACATTAATAAAAAAATCATTAAAAAATCTTTTTAAATGAAAAAGAAAATTTTAAAATATATTCTTAAAAACTAAAACCTTTCATACTAATTCTTGCCTCCTTAACTGAATTTTCTGAGTCCGTCTTGAGTGCTAGCATTGAGTCCTGGATTCACCGCATTTTGTGGAGAACCCAGATCAAGACCTGGGTTCCTCCTTCCTTCACCCTCCTTCCTCCTCTCTCTTCCCCCCGCCCCTCCTCCTCTCCCATTTTTTTTTTTTTTTTACACGTTAGAAAGTGGGTTCTCACAGGAATCCGATTGAGTTTAAGGAAAAATATAAATAAAGATATTAATTTTATTTTTATTTAAAAATATTAATTTTTATTTTTTTAAGATACTAACTTTTAATATTTTAATAAAAAAATTTTGTTTTTCATGACAATATTATTATCTAATTAGTTATTAAATAAAAAAATTAAAAATTAATATTTTAAAAAAATTAATAAAGATAACTTTCTTCAGTAAAACAAATATAAAATTGTCATATTTATTTACACTTTTTCGATCGAGCATCTGGAGGGATGAGGAAGAAAACCACTTTTATGATTTAATTAATTACTTAATTAATCACTTTTACTTATTTGTTTTTGTCCATGTATGTCTAAAATGCCACCTAAAATGAACCCAAAAAAGCCAGTTTATCATCTTAACAATTTTTTTTTTTTTAATGGACCAAAGGCAACAATCAAATCACTGTTGATTTGTTTATGAGCCTGCAATTAGTTACCGTTACTACAGAAAAAATTTTAGATACAGTTGAGTGGCCCAATTTAATGTTGGGCTCAATAGTAGGCTTTGAGGGACCCGAATTTAATTCTGGGCTGGAATAAATTCAATTTGGTTCAAATTGGTTTGAACTTTTAGAATTGCTTAACTTTTATTTTTTTTTTTTCTTTGGGACATATATAATTAGTCATCGTTGCAACTTGCAAGGTTTGAATTTTCATTATTCTCGTTAAATCAAGATTTTTAAAATAGTAAGCAGTAATTTAATCAAATTTTTATTTATAAGTACTTAAATTATTTAGGTTTTTATTGACATATCTTAAAAGATTTTTTTAATTTATATATTTTAAACACAAGTTAATGATATATTTTTATAATAAATGTATAAAAAACTATAATTAAATATTAATTTATAACAAAAAAGAAATGTATTTATTATAAGTACATTTTAAAAATCTCATCTTAGTTTATGATAATTTAGACTACTATTTGAGTTGAGCATTTATAAGTTTGAAGTTGACTCAATTAAATATTCAATATATGCTCAAACTCAGCTTGAAACTTTGTCTAGGCTCAAGTCTTGTTCAAGTAAGTTCATTAGACTGAAATTCAGTTTGAAACTTGAATAAGCTCAAATTATGCCGAACTTTTGTTCCCAGTTCACCTCATTGTGTAAGTCTATCAGCGTCCTTTCTGAATATATTATCATTTAGAGCATCAAATACTATTGCAATAACCATACCGTACTCATTTCATAAGGTTTGAAAAACTTCTATTTTAGATTATTTTGGGCGTGTAGTTTCTACAAGAAACTATTAATTAAAAGTTGCTGTCCGCTTGTCCTTCGGAAGTTGTTGAATGATGTTTAGTCTCTTAGAATTTAAAAATCTATATTAAGATATAAATAAATAAATAAATAAATTATATATTTTAATCTTTATAATTAATATGTTGGATTAGAATATTAATGAACATTAAGGATCATCATAATTTAAAATTTTATATAAAAACCTATAAAACAAATATAATTAATATTAAGATTTAGATTTTCCTCTCTATAATTAGCTTTAATATAGTAACAATTAAAGGGTTATATCATTTTTAACTCCACTATTTATATAGGATTTTTTTGGATATGAGATGAAACTTTTTTTTTTTCTCTGAACCAAAGATATGAGATGAAACTTAACCCATTATAATAATATTTTAACCACTTTCATCAAGTAACTCATCTTTAATTTCAGATTTTATATCTATTTATATCACACTTATAAAACAAATAAAAGTTAAGTTTACTTAAATATATAATTTAATTAAATTTTACCAATTTTATATTTGATCCAATTTTAAAAACCAAATACAACTAGCTAAAGTTCATGTAAAATTTTCCAACATAGTCAACTAAACTCCTAGAAATTCTAGCATATCATGGGTATACAAGCTGATATGGTATCCCAAACCAATCAAACAATGACAACTCATTAAATTCATTAAAAACATCTCAATGTACGTTCACGAAGATAGAGTAACGGAATCTCTCTCATCTCCCTTTCTCACCCATTGCATCCCCCAAATGCATTCTCTTCTCCAATCCTCCCCGAATCATCCCTTTCCTCCTCCACCCATTACTTTGTCTCTCAAAACAATGATGGCAATCATAAGCCACCTCCCCAAGAAGCTGGCCTATATTAGATCCCATACTTATAACTTGTTCCCTTTTAACCCTCAGTTTCCAAAAACTGTTTCACATTGATTGGTTATGCAATTTAGCCATTTGGGAACAAGGAGTGAGGGGATTTTAAGAATTACTGAAAAAGTAGTGAAAATAAAATTGGGTCATCATTGACATCCCTCACCTTGTGTTGCAACATTTTTGTCACATCCTTACAATAAAAATAAAAATAAAAATCTCCCAATTACATAGCATTTTGCTTATGAAGATTAACACCTTTACGCTTACATTACATCATCAAAAGCAAAACTTTTAACTTAAGGTCAGAATGAAGGGAAGTGGAGGAGGCAAAACAAAAATTTCAAAATAAAGTTTTTGGTGATAGGAGTTCATGAAAAAAAAGCAAGACAACAAGAGAAAGGCCAAAATAAAATTTTGAGAGGAATTTCAGATGAAGTGAAAATAGTGAAGAGGAAGAGGAGAGAAGGGCCAAAGAAATTCTCCGTTAAATTGTGCTAAGCTATTTTACTAAAAGATGAGTTGG